CGTAAGTTCCAAAACCTTAATTTTAATCTGATAGATATAAGTAATAAACCCTTTGGGGTATGGAACACAAGTAATAAATCCTTTGGAAGGGTTTATGAAAGTGCAACGTAGACTAAACCCTTTTAGGGTTTATTAAAATCAAATACCCTCTCATAAACCCTGCTAAGGGTTTATTATTCTACCTTTTTTTTACAGTGTAGTCACCGGTATCTGTCAGTTACCGACTTCGACCGATTAAATGGTACTGGTGAACCGGTGATTCATCATCACCGTTGCATCCCTAGTTGCAATTTAGTCTTGCAATAGGTCACAACCAGAATATACAAGTGCAGAATGCTCCGATATTGCTCATATTATACTTGATTCTATTAGTATTACCATGCAAAAACTCTCTCAAAACGGGTGTATATAGGAAAATAGTAGTAATTATCAATAAAAAGATCTGAAAACAACGCATGAGACTAGTACTAGCACCTAGTGAGAATCGGTGACCGGTGCAACCGGTGACGGGTACCAATGTGGACCAGTGAGACCGGCGAGATCGGTGACGGTTTTCGTCACTGTTGCACCCCTATTACCCACTCAGACAAAAGCATATTTTAACGCGTTTTTACGGAGAAGAATGTGCTCTTTCTATGTAGAAAAAACGATATCGTTTTTTTCAAAAAGCAGTTTGTGGTGTTCATTGGCATCATATTCCCTATATCAGTAAAAAAATTTTTTTGAGAAAACGCAAAAGACGCACATTTACACGCGTAAAAGCGCTCTTTCCTATCGATTTTGTGGCCTGTGTAGTGCATCCGTGTATTCAGTGTGGGTCTGATTGGAATCTCCCTAAGCGATGCATCGTGTTCATGTGGTATGTACCGGCGTCTGACTTTAAATTTTGGTCCTATAGTTGCGGTTGGTCCACAGAGTTAAAATGATTGAGTGCATCCATATGGGGAGAGTTTTTGATTTTTTTTCTGCCGAATTTATAGATTTATTTAGCATTACGGCAGTCGATATACTATGCTTTCATTTCTGACTTTCAGGATTGAGCTGAGCGAGGCTCCTAGAGCCGACGCGTTACCTGTGATAGCATATTATTAATATTTATCAGCAAGGAACAACTTGATCTTCTTAATGCATATGAAAGTTGGTATTTCGGTCGCACTTTTACTATGCGTATTTAAAGTAACAGTAAAAACATTATCTTTATAGCATTTTTGCGTTTTAATTCGTGAACAATCATTGCCATTGGTTTACTCATTATTACCGAATAGAAAAACTAGAAAAATATGAAAAACTATTTCGAATAATTCAACAACACGTTCAATGCAAACCAACATTTATAACAGTTTACTTGTAAAGGGAACGGAAAATGCTTTTACTATTGTATTTCCTGGGAGTAAAATAATTGGGTGATTCTTTCATTTTAGGGTGTAGGTGTGGCTGTTGTAAATCATGATTCGCATATACCCACACCCAACTGCGCATGGTCAAATTTGAGAGATTGCATTAGGATCTACTGAAGATTTTGTTCTCTATGATTTTGTCAGGAACCCACAAGTATGCCATGCAAGTTTAATATTTTCAGGTCCTAAGCAACTGTCAAATATTCGACAAGATCCCATTTACGATCATATAGAATCATAAACAATAATGGATCTAGATCTTATCATTGGATATAACTAATTTGAGATGTAAAGTAACAGCGATCCACTTCTCCTGTATTTTAACAAGTGATTATATTCATACCTTCGAGCAAAATCTCCCCTTCGCTTTGTTTCTATGCTTTCATACTTTGTATCAAATTTATTACCGAATACAGATAAGACATGCGAGTTTTATTCCAGTGTGATGTGTATATCGTACTGTAATAAAACTCTCATGCCTTATTTGTACTCAGTAATAAATTTGATGCAAAGTATGACAACATAGAACGACAAAGAAGAAAATACTTGTTCAGGGGTGTAGCAGCCAGATATGGTTAAATTTCCGCTAATAGTTTTTGAATGTTTGATCACTCGACTAAACTAATACTGGGCGTTTAGAGACCTGAAACTTTCAAGGTAAACTCCTACTATCATTTGAAACCCGACAGCGCCAGGTAACATTTTTCCAACTTCCTATTTCGAAAATTCCTTATTGCCTAGTCAATGAAAATATCCGAAAAATAAATTGCAATATTTCGATCTCAAATGATAGCTTTTATTCACAGATACGGTTATAAGATTGCGTAAAAAGATTCCGATATCGATATGGTCAGTTTGCCCGTAGAATCGTTTTTAGCTTATTTTTTTACAAAAAAAACTTTTATCTCAATATGGGCAGCTCAAATTTCGAACAGGATACAGGAACGGCCATATAAGAGTGAGCGGGAAGTTGCACCTCTGCATGTCTCCCACCTTCTGAGATATTCATGTTACAAAATTTTTGAAAATGTAATTTTTGTATCATGGATATCTGTGAAGAAGCAAGACATACAGAGATGCAACTTCCCGCTCACTCTTATATGGTCGTTCCTGTATCCTGTTCGAAATTTGAGCTTTCAATACCGAAATAAAAACATTTTGATCGAAAAGGGCTGTTTGGATAAACTTGTGGCATCGATACCTCGTGATGCACACGATATAGGAGTCGGAAACTTTTTACGCAATTTTATACCAGTACCCGTGAACTATGAATCAAATTTGAGGACGAAATATTGAAATTCATTTTTCGGCTATTTTCATTGACTAGGCCATAGACTTTTCCCCCAATCTTCAAAACAGGGGATTGGGAAAAATTTTACCACGCGCTGTCGGGTTTCAAATGATAGCGGGACTTTACCCAGAAAATTTCTGGCATCTAAACGACCCCAGGGCGAAGTCGATAGTTTTGTAATGGGCCTTCTTTTTCTGAGAGAAGTGGAAATCTGAATTTTTCAGTGATAAACATGAAAATGAGCAAACGTGTAGACCCGCAGAACATCCACTGTGTCTATTGGTGGCATTCGCTTCTGCCATCGCTGCATCAAGAACTTCTCTGTAACGATTTCTCATAGAAGAGAAGCTTGTGCTGATGGTATTACACTTTATTTCACTCTTCAAATCATAAAACCGCATCGATTACATGTAAAGCACACGCTTAAATACTCAACCATTTGAGAGAACGAAGGAGAATGAGAGATAAACACAAATATCAACGACAGAAAGATAAAGGCAATACGTGTGATGAGAAGAAATGGCACCAAAAGGCCAAATACTATGCACAGACCACACTCGAACGGGAGCGTTACGCTCCCACGTGGAATTTAGACACTCTCCGCATTTATCGTTACATTCGCCAACATTGCGTCTCCAATTCACGCCGTCATCAACGAAATCCAATTTTAAAAACATCCAATTCATGGCGTTACTCTGGTTCAATGCGGTTTATATATATATTTCAAAGCAGCATCCTTTACCACCTAGTGTATGGAATGTGTTGAGATTCGATCTTTCTCGTATCCAAGCCTTAACAAAGGACGATTACAAATTCGGCGAAACTACACGTAAATGTGGTGCTCACATTGCGGAAATGTTGAATTACCAAAGGACGAAAGCTTTTCACCAAACCACCCAAGTTATAGGCGAAGTTTTCTTCTGATGCGACATTTTCGGATCGAAGCGAGATCAAAATTACAAGGGTTTTTTACGTAAGCATTCGCCTTTGACTTCATTCGATTCTCGGGATTGATGTGTTCTTGTGCGGTAGCTGGAACAAGTTGTCGCCGTCGATAAAATCCAACGCGAAATCATAGACAACTAACTAGCCTCGTATTGGAGACGAAGACACTATTGCCATAACTTTTCGCATGTTGGATTATTAAGAGAGGTTCTACGAGACCATCGAGGGTCATGTCTGATATCGAAGCACTCGTCAAATTTCGAGTTTTTGATTTAATATTCTCATCTTGTTCAGCATCATCTAAACCCTATGAATCCGAATTTTTAGCGCATCTGGTCGAACTGGTGAAAATTTAGTCTGCTTTTACTTTCAAGCGCTCGACAGCATGCGTGGAAAATGTAAGAAAAAATTTTCTTTATACATTTCAGTCTTTTTCTGATAAAAAGTTAACAAAATTTTTCGTGTAATTTACCAAGCGATAGAGCATCGAAAGCTGAACAAAAATAGTTATTTATATATCCCATTCCAATGCATTAACTCAGTGTTATTGATCAAATATTGTCACAGACTGAGAATTTTTTACTTAAAAATGTATCTATTTTTTACAGTATATCGGCTGGCATCCAATATTTTGATCGGACCCCAAGCTCATTTTGAGATATGTTGTATAGTTTTTTTCTCCTCTACAGAACGGTAAAAAAATATTTCAAAAATAAGTTGCCCCTTGATGGGAATATGACTCACACTGCCTAATTTTTTATGGGTTTTGGTGGTTTTTCAATAAAAAATTATTCTCTTTCGTAATTTTCTTTCTCCTGAAATAATGCTGTAGAAAAACGAATGTGATTTTCAGAATCCACGCGAAAAACGACATCTAATCATGTATATTCGAGCCGAAACTATTTCTAGACTAAAATTGACCTATGGTCCCCCACACCGATATTTAACCTCCTGAGGACCGCTGTCTTCAGGCTGAAGACAAACAGAACGAAAGAATGTTTTCTTCGTTCTGTTGTATCGTTGAACATGTTTAAAAAGCAGAAAATGGATAGAGAATCGTTCCTTCAGCCAATGGTGATTTCTGATTATTTTCTTCTAACTAAAAAAAAAATACAGTGCTGTTCACAAATATAGAATCACTCTCGAGTTCAGTTTTCTTTTCAATTTTTTTCCTTCCCCATATCACTTTTCTGCTTAAACCTACTCTTTACAATAGCTTTCGATATGCTCTTTTAGAATCTACCGAGAAAACATTCAAATATCACGTATTTATTACAAAAAAAAACTTTCACAAAAAAATGTGTTCCTGCCTGCTCACAAATATAGAATCACTAGTACATTTTTCACAGTTTTTTTTACAGCCCCAATCAATATTTAGTGAAAGTCCCTCCACGAGTTAAGACACACTGTTTCACACGTCGTGGCATCGAATCAACAAGTTTTTGGCATTGTTGACATGTCACACTTTTCCACAAATCTTCAATCATCGTTTGTAATTGTCTTACGTTCATTTGTTTTAATCTTCGAAGCTCTTTATCGAAATAGTCCCATAGATTTTCAATCGGGTTAACATCAGGTGAGCTAGCTGGCCAGTTTAACAGACGAATGTTATTATCTTTCATCCATCTCATCGCAAATTTTGATTTATGAGACGGTGCATTATCTTGCATGAAAACCCTATTAGTATTTGTTTGACCGAATGCACCTTCAATAAAGTCAGGTACGGCATCTTGAATGATTTTGATGTATGAAGGACCATTGACTCGACCTGTATAAACCACCAATGAACCACCACCACCTCCAGACATGCATCCCCGTGCGCTGACACTTCCACCACCTCCCTGCACACGTGGAACGAAATTGAATGGCTCATTGTTTTCTGATTTTAGACGACGAACCAACGATCCATTTTTGCGATTTAACACCTCAAAATGAGCCTCATCACTCCAAATAACATTGTTCCATTCAGTTGTCCAATACTGATGATCTCGAGCGAAGACCACACGTTGTTTGATTTGAGCAGGTTTTCTCATGGGTTTCTTTTTTGTCGTATAACTTTTGTAACCCATACTTAATAGACGACGACGCACAGTTGGAGCACTCATTTTCTTTCCATTTGATAAAGTCCATTCGGACGCTAACATCTGACTAGATTGTGTTCGGTCTTTCTTCATAATTCGGAGCAGGCGACGATCGTCAGTTGGTGTAGATGCTTTCTTTGGACCTTGTCCTGGAGTATTGGATAATGGTAATTTCTGTTTTAACTTATTTGAGACACCGAAAACACATTTCTGAGAGACATTCGATAGTTGAGCAACTGCTCGTTGACTCAAGCCGGTTTCCAGTAACGTTTTGATGGCGACTTTTTTATCATGAGTAACTTTAACGCGGCCCATGTTGAACAATAAAGAAAATCAAACGAAATAATAAAATAATAGATTATAAATTGATCTAAAATTAACAAAATAAATCAATTGCATGCCAAACTACTCGAGTCGAATAGTTCGCTTGAGAAAAAGTCCTCTCGTGGGCGAAAAACTCACAAAAAATGCTAGTGATTCTATATTTGTGAACAGGCAAAAACAGCATACTTTTTTGTGAAAGCTTTTTTTTGTAATAGCTATGTGATATTCGAATGTTTTCTCGGTAGATTCTGAAAGAACACATCGAAAACTATTTTATAGAGTGGGTTTGAGTAGAAAACGTGATATGGAGAAGAAGAAAAAACTAAAAGAAAACTGAATTCCACAGTGATTCTATATTTGTGCACAGCACTGTATATACAGCTGATTGAGAGCGACAGAACGCAAAACAAAGTGTTTTTTTTATTTTTCTCTAGCTTCGAATAGAACGCAAGAATTCTCGGGATTCAGGACGTTAAAAGAAATTTCTCTCCCTGGTACCCCTCAGGTCAATTTTGGTCTAGAAATAGTTTTGGCTCGAATATACATGATTAGATGTAGTTTTTTGCGTGGATTCTGAAAATCACATTCGTTTTTCTACAGCATTATTTCAGGAAAAAGAAAATCACGAAAGAGAATAATTTTTTATT